GCGACTTTTGTTGTGGACGTTCATTTTTCTCGGCAATGAGTTGACATGTTTGGGTGATTCGGAAACCATGACATAAACACACAGCTGCATAAGAAAAAATGCTTAAAAGCTCTTTATTTAGATAAATCCTTTTAAGATATATAGTATTCTGAATTTTTTAGTAAGCACATAGAATATAATCATCATTTATGGTCAATCGACTGAAGCCATTGAAAATAGTATAGTCTTTATTAGTATTTCAAGGAAGATCTGAACCCATTCGTGATTGAAATCCCAAAATAATTAGAAATGAATGCCATAGAAGGAAATTACTCTTAGTGTAGACAAAATGGTACGTTTACAATTGCACCTGACAATTCCATTTAAATTTATTAGTCATTGATCGGCATATCCGCACATGAACTTACAAAATATATTACTTCTGTGATCTCATAATGGGCCAAATAAAGCGAAAATATGTTTGCCTTAGTCAAAAGTAACTCAACTAATGCATAAGCGAAAGAAAATACTAGCAATTTTCGTGAAAACGTGTTGGAATACATACTCGAAATTGGGGCTGTTTGGTAACAACCATACATTACATTCCGGGTAATATGGAAACATATGTCTCCGAATATTTTACAATTGGATTATTGGCAAAATTAGCTTATGTAGTCCCCTTCATATACCCCTAGTCTGAACATTTGTCCTACGAAAACGGTGGTTGTAGGGTTTTGGAGGGTGGGGAAATAGGATAAGCAGAGAAGTAAATTTTTAGAAGTAAGTGCAAAGGGAAAAAATAGAGTCGAATTTGTTTCCCACAGCTGCTGGCAGTTACTTTTTCCGCATGTAAATTGAAGGTGTGCATGGCGCTTCGCGATTTGACAAAGGCGGTTTGTCGGCCCTTGAGAAAGCCGGGGTGATCGGCAGGGCCAATGATAAAATGGCCAGGCTATTGTTGAAAAATTGGTCCTCCACTGGCATAATCAACAGAGCTATCGACTTGAACCTTGCCTACCAGGCTCTCCACACAAAGCTCGGATCAAGTCGGCCAGAGCCAGTAGGACAACCGAGTACGCAGGACCGAGAGCAAACGCCCACGGAAAATAGGGGTGGAGGTCGGAGGTCACGAGACCAACATTAAACACTGTCTCAACGTCGCAACCGCGAGGCAAAGAATAACCCAAGTGAACAACAATGATTGATCAT